AAGTTGGCCAGGCTGATCGACTGTCTCGAGAGGTTTGACCGGTCCGCACAGCCAGGTACATGAAATAATAGTATATGTACAGATGCGATAACAGTGTCTGATTTAGGATAAGTAATTAATTTAGTTCCTTACTTAAATTTTAACAGCTTTGCGGAATTTGAACGTTAATGCGAGTGTTTCGAACGACTACTATCGTACTCCACGAATTTCGAAATATGTGCATTTCGCAGCTAACGAGCAAGAAAGATTGGAAAATGTTATTGTAAATCTGACAAAACGATGTCACATGGAACTGTCAAATTGTGAGGTAAAGAAATTATGATCAGAATGTATAAAGCGACGTACGGACAGAACGTTTGGTTCTTATAAACTTTCCTTGTAACAGATTTTCTTTTCGATATTACAGTTTTCTTCCACCATGGATCAAACCATTCGTAGCTTCGTGGCGCAGAATAAGCTCGACTTCACCCTGAGGGAAGGTGACGTGCATAGAGCCCCTCCCACCTACAAGTATGACCTACGGGGAAACTGGGTCAACTCGAGTGGAAGCCATGGGCAATGAAACGTGTGGGAAGAGGCTGTTCATATATTACTCGACGCGAGAGGGAGAAGGGGGTGGGAGTCTAAGGCCCGTATTAGTAATGATCTTAAATGTAAATGGCAACTTAACGGTGCCTGGGACAGTGAATTTCTACAAAATGATGTTAAGGGCTCATTTTTGGAGAGAATGGAAAACGGATCCGTAATTCTGTGGAGAAACCCATTCCCCACATATTTATGGATATATTTTCCATTCTGTCCAAAAATGAGCTCTTAACATCCTTCTTAAGAAATTATTTTTGTGCCTGTGTCCCAAACAGCCGTAGACCTATTTTTTAAATAAGATTGAAATGTGAAGGGGCACTAACAGTTAAGGTGATTATTAAGGCGGCCATAAGGCTCCAATGATATCGTGCCTATGGGACACATGTAAAAGGGGGGAATGGGTGGGGGTCTAGAAATGGTGATTTTTGCCTTACGTAATTTATGAAACTTTCCAACTCTGCGAGTAAAAATAAAATACACGACTCCTACCAACGTCAACTTCACAAATTATTAAGATGATGTATATACATAATGTTGCAAAAAAATAAGGGCTAAATAAAATGATCATATTTACATAATAAGTAAGATTTCACGTCTCACATATGCCTATAAAGGGTGTTGATTTAATTTCTCCCCAGTCATTTTTTACTACACGGACGACGACAAATTCAGCTATAATTCCTGTACCTTTTAATGTTTACTTTTGAAAATTTTACCATGAGTAGTCCAATACTAAAGGTCGATCGTGACCATCGTAGAGATTCGATAAAAACTTCAGTTTCGCAGCAATTAAAAATATAAGAAAAATCGGAGAAATTATGACGTGGCGGGAAAAGGTTAAGGCCACGGACCAGCCGAATTTTTTTTAAATACAACAAATGGTCTGAACGCCCTAGGAGGATGTCACCTACTACAGCCACAACAATTCTGCCCAAGATTCATCGAGAACAGGAAGTTCGGTACTAATTTCTGCAAAAGAGTGAAATGGGCCAAAACGCATCAAAATTATTAACACGTAAATTTACCATACTACAGTTGGGAAATTTGCAAAATCGACGAATTGGAGTCACACAACTCATAAACTAAGTCAGGAAAGCTTACTATCTCTAAACAACACTAATACCGGCCTAAAATTTGGAAAAATATTCCAAAAAAGTGGCGATTTTCTTGAAAAAAGGCAAGGTCAAGAACCATGGCGTCATATCCTCGGGACAAATGAATCTTCAAATGAGCCACATCCAGAATTGAACCTACAACATATGATATACAAGACCGGGCAAAAGTCGCATGTATCACATCTGCGTGTTTCAAAATGTGGATCGAAAGTTATGGTAGCGGGTAGTTTTTTGCGCATGGCGTGACAATCCTCTACATATATATTATATAAATATGGTACATATTAATGCAAAGAATTTTATAGCGAAAATACAACCTACACACTTTGATAACATGAGAAACAAGGAATTTTTTCCAATTGTTAGTCAGGACTTTTCATGCAGGATGGTGGTGCAACTCACACGGCAAAAACAACAATGCCGCTATGTGAAGGGCAGGGTAAAACTGTTTGGAGCAAGGGGGCGTGGTCCGATAAAAATCCGGATGTGGGTGTTTTGGTTAACCCATGACCCATACTAAAGTAGCATATGCATAAAGATCCAAAACCACGCACATTAGAGGAGCTATCAACGAAAGTTCAAGAAAAATTCAATTCCATACTAAAAACCACTTTGGAAAAATTAGCACAGAACTTTAAGCAAAGAGTTTAGGACTTGGTTCTCATGGGTGATCGAAAGACCAAATACTAAGGTATATTTGAAGAAAAAATTTGGTCCGATGCGTCACACAGTTTTCAGAAATACGCTTTCGTTTTTTTGCAGGTGGAAGTGGGGAGAAATTAAATCAACACCCTTTATATCCATTTGCAATAAATATTTAATCGTCTTCACATGTTGTTCATAAATATTTACATACATACATATGTATGTAGATACATATTTACGTGTATACACTCGTAAAAACAGGGTTACGATTATAACCAAAAAGTAAACGTAGAGGGTGTTCCGGAAGTAATGCAACTTTGGTCAAATGCACATATAAACTGAACCAATGAATTTGTTTCGGCGAAATTTTGGTCAGAAAGGGACAAAGGTTAAAGCTAATTACTTTTTGCTTCGAATGGTCCATACATCTCCTTCTGCCCAATTTGGGGAAGCTTTTGTCGCGCGCTTCCCATTAGTGCTTCGCCACTGTTTTTGGTAAACTTTTTGGCGATTTTTGACATGTGATGAAATAAGTTCAAATTTTTGACTAAAGTTTTTCGATTACAATATTCTTTCTTGGATAAAAACTAAAATTGTTCAATAGGTCTTGTAGTTGGCAAATTTCGGAACGTTTTTCACCTCTCCCATGTTAATTGCATTGGATCCGTTTTAAGGCGGAACGGGGTACTCTGGCTTAGATTTATTTTCCAGTTTTGCATAAATGGTTTTCTTGAAGGTGGGAGAGTTGTACTATGTGCAAATAAAAGCATTTTGAAAATCTGAGCAGTAAATCGTTTTGTACAGGACGATCAATTTTGATTAATTTTGATTACTTCAGGTCAAGGATTTTTTCTGTCATCCTGCTTGCAACTTTTATTTTACTCTTTACTATATTTATACGCTTATAGAACCTTCTAGGATTTGATGTCCAACTTCTAAGCTTTCAAATAATGTATGGTGTTAGGTGACAACTTCAAGTACTTCAGCGAATTTCGCTCCGACATAACACATTTCTGTTTACACGAAGTTTATTACTTTCGGGGCTGCCACACGAATGGGCCGACCAGATATTTTTTGGCTATTAGTAGTTTTTCGCAGCTCATATCTTAGTAGTATACAGCAAATTGTCAGTTTTAAAATTTGTTCTTTTTTAAAGTGAACAAAGCTCAATTTCTTGGAGCGCGTAACCACTTTTTCATGGTAGTGGCAGACTATGGTTGCGAGTTGCTCGGCGGTATTTGACCTCATTTTGGAATATACAGAGATATCGACTTCTGGCTGTCGGATTCTACTAGATAAACGTATGGACTACAATATTCACCCTATTTCGAATTTGGGGCAAATTGATACCCTTGCATATATGCATTTTACCAAAGTTACATTACTTCCGGAACACCCTCTATGTGACTCTGGTTATAAATTTGTCATCGAGTGGTTGCAATTGTCACCGACTAGTTATAAAGTTTCACCTACTTGGTATTAAATTGTCACCAGAGCTAATAAATTTATAACCAGTTGGTGACAAATTCATAACCACGGGGGTGGTCATATACCTATGTTTACATTTTGGCAATAATCGTAACCTAAGTATTTCTACGAGTGTACATACATTCAGTATTTTTTTAAACTAAAATCGTCCTGATGAATTGAGGTCATGATGCGGGAAGTAAATAATTGTCATTTCTAGAAGGTAATTAAATTTTAATGTTTTCTTCCCGAAAATTTTAAATATTTAATATAATGCAATGTTGAATTCAGGATGTTTCATTTTTTCCGAGTTTTATTTAAAACAAGATACTTATGTACATACATATTTATAATGTCCCCTAAGTACATACTTAATGCATTATGCATTGTCTTGTTGTTAATCATACCCCTTAAAGGGTTGAACAAATTAAGGAGTACAAAACTAGGTATGTACATTCCATTAGAATTTTAAAAAAATTCAAGGTAAAAACTTGAAGTACATACGCGTATGTGTACATACATACATACCTTTTATGACGATATTCATTCCATGAATATTTATAAACTTACCATTCAAAGCACTCCTGAAAAATTCAACCACTTGGTTATACTCCCCGTGTTTAATTGGAATCAAGTGCATAGAATTACATATGTGCAACAACGTGAGACATAGTCTCAAAGTTGAAATTAATGCCTTAAAACGTCGCCCATGAAAAAGAATAGAAGTAACCTTTGAATAGTCCTTAACGTTGACCTACATGCATAAATATCCCATCAAGTAATAAATATGTAGCTTAATGCTTTCCGACAGAAAAGGTTGTCACGCTACGATTCCATTATTCTCAGGTAGTTTTCACACCTAAACCTTTCCTTGCACGTGTGATTGTGAATGTGGTACTTAACCGAATTTTGAAAGGGTGAAGGTTTCCTAAAATAGATCCATTTAATAATTTGACCAACCTTTCCAGGTAAAAATTTTAGGGAAGATTTCAGCCAATCTGGGTCATCCATTTTACAAAGGTGCAGATCTCGTTAATTACCATCGTCACAAACGGTAATCATGTTTCCGTCTACGGTAAAATTAGTTCTACTGTGACATCTCCCCAAATTTAGAAAGATGACAACGGGATCCATGATGCCAAATAACACTTAATTTAGGATTTAACGGGTTCCCATCTCTACACAAGATTACAGTTTTGCATCCTCATTTTACAGCACCGTTTTATTTTACAGTAATCTGTCACATTCAAAATTAACAATGGGAGTAAAGACGACAATAAATAATTAAATAAATAGCGCAATAAATAAATAAATAATTAATTAATTAATTAAATAACTCAAAAAGGTCCATTAATCTGCCGAATTAAGCAGCAGGTGCTTTCCCCTCGATTGCGGCCTCTCCATGGGACGGAGTGATCTCGTTCAACGTGTTAATCGTGGCCTGGGCATTGTCTCCGGTCGCACTCACGGCCATATTTCCGGACGAGTAGACGCCCCCATTGACGCTGGGGGGTGAATTGAACGCGTCCCCGTTGAGGGAGGCGTACGTGTTCCCGTTAATGGAGAGGGATGAGGTACCGTTTTGCGAGGAAGATGCCGACACCGTGGCGTCCGCCACGGCGTGGGCGCCACCCTGACCGGTAGCGTTGACTGTGTCGGCTAAAAAATTGTAAATTTTAGGTAAGAATAGATGTTGGAATTTTTGGAAGAATTTGTGTAAACTTACGTCTTCGGATTTGTTGTAAAGTGGATTTACCGGAAGGTTCACGAGCGCCCGCGGTCGCGGTGGCGCTAGCACTGGCGCTGGCCACGGCTTCGGCGGAGTTTCCAGCTATTTGGAAATAATTTTTAATCAGAATTTGACTGGGTTCGAAATTTCTGATTATTTGGCGAAGTTTAAGATTTGAATATTGGTTATGTTATGAGATACACTTACCGGATGGTGCTACGGTCGTGGGAGCCTCGGTCGTCGTTGGTTCTGGGGTGGTAGCAGCCTCGGTCGTTGTTGGTGGATCCGTGGTAGCCTCGGTCGTTGTGGGTGGTTGCGTGGTAGCAGCCTCGGTCGTTGTGGGTGGTTGCGTGGTAGCAGCCTCGGTCGTTGTGGGTGGTTGCGTGGTAGCAGCCTCGGTCGTTGTGGGTGGTTGCGTGGTAGCAGCCTCGGTCGTTGTGGGTGGTTGCGTGGTGGCAGCTTCGGTCGTTGTGGGGGGTTGCGTTGTAGCAGCCTCGGTCGTTGTGGGTGGTTGCGTGGTAGCAGGCTCGGTCGTCGTTGGTGGGGCTGTAGTAGGAGCCTCGGTCGTGGTCGTTTCCGGTTCACAAGTCGTCGTCGTTTCAGGTGCCGAAGTAGTTGTGGTCGGCTCAGCGATAATTTCGTTGTTATAAGTGCCGTTTCCGGACGCATTGGATTCTTGCTCAACTTGACCGCTCACATGCTGACCGGTCGCACTAGCCCAGACTCCTGTCCCAGCGTAAGAACTGTGTATGAATTTAGTTAATTAAATTAATTTTGGCGAAGTTTTTAAGTTGCAAAAATTCTTCGCAAAAAATATGATGCCAACGCCAAAATGTGAATATGAACATAAAACTATAGATTATCAAATACTTGAATTATGAACAGTTAATTGCTTACTTTCCGACTCCATAATTCGAATCTACATTCCCATACTCGCCCGAATTTCCGTATGCACTGATTTGTATGGAGCTAGAGCCCCCAGAAGAAGTGATCGAGGCAGAAACGGACGAGTTCGCTTGACCATTTGCAGAAGCACTGGTCTGACTTGAATCTAGAAAAATTTACACATTTCTGAACAACATTTCCTAAAAGGTTGACTTTTTTCAGATGCAAATTTTTTATAAGTGAAATAAGTTCTTAATTTTCTTAAAAGAATCATCCACCAAAAGTTTCAAAAATGCAAAAATCACCACTTAAGAAATGAATCAAATCGAAAAATTAATCAGACACCTAACTGTCTAAAATCTATATACCTTAATAAATTTCTGATCATAAATTTCCAGTAAAGAAAATTAATTCACGAATTAAACATTCTCCAAATAATTTATTGTCCTCTAATATTAAATTCTCCAATATCAGATCAACCTTAAGTTCTAAATTTCTAACCGAAATTAGACCCCTACATTTGTTATAAATAATCTCATTATCTCAAAATTTTCAAAATTTGACATCTTACCTCTGCCCTTGCGGATCGTAAAAGTTGAGCCCCCGTGAAGAATCGTGCAAACGACGAAGGTGACAATAAGGTGAGATTTCATCGTGACAAATGAGTTATGCAGAGAGCTTGCAGTTTACCGGACCAAAGTTCAGGGACGAGTGACCTACTGGCGTGGAGTGGAAAGGATTTAAATAAACTTCCTTAAGTGTCACATTTATAAATAAAATGAAAAGGACCCTTTGGTTCGTTCAGCCCGAGTCATATAGACTTTCATCAAGGACTTACGCATTATATGTGTATACTCACTACCAACGGGACGGACAGACAGACAGATTAAACTGTGCCAAAAGACATGATTCAGGCAATGAAATGTAAAGGTAGGTACAAATGTACATGTATGTCTCCAGTACACTCGGTCAGCGCATGGTTACCCTTTAGACACCAATTAGCTGTTAAATACTAAATACGACAGGTAGGAATTACAGGTGCTCTGAAATCCACGGTGCATACTTTTGTTCCCAACGACCCTTATTTTAACCCTTTCCATAACAAAATACAATGTCTGGATACATATGTACATATTCACACATATTTCATTACACATGGAAAATTATTAAGAACGTCGCCATGAAATGGAATTTCAATCCTTTTTTCGTAGAACTGCACAAAATATACGTCCGCACGTAAATAGACATCTGCATACTTAACCTTTACTGGTTGACATATGTATATGTACTTAATTTGAGACGAAAAAATACATTACGGATTAGATACATATTTGTTGGTAAAAATTTCGTATCAAATTGGTAATACAATTTTCCATATAAAATTCGAAACATCCATAAATTTTAAGGCAAGTAAACAAATAAGTATGGAATCAAAAATTTGTGAGCCTATTTACATCGTATGTATGTACTAGCGATAACTTTGTTTCTCGCATCACAATAAAGTTTGCAAAATAATCTTGCCAAACAAAAATTTGCCCGTGTAAATTCACGCTCAAAAATATGTACCATCGTTTTACATATTTATATCTAACAAATGTCATGCATACATACATACCTGGCATAACCGAGTTATTAAGGGGTGAAAACCCCTTTATGGGAATGTCTTGTCCGTCCGTCTGTCTGTCCGTCTGTCCGTCTGTATCCACGATACCTTTAGAATGGTTTCGTATTTCGGGATGCGGTTTTCGTCAACGTGTTTCAAATTTTTGAAGTATGGATGAGTTCGAAGATGGGCGTTGTAGGTCGTAAAAAAAAAAACCCCTTTATTACAACCACTGGACCCCACGAATGGGCCATTACCCAGGGAGGGAGAAGAGTACCTGAGCTTGGCAGTGGGGAAAAACGAGAAAAACCCACTGCAGGCACTAGGACTTGAACCCAGCACCTCCATTCAGCCCACTCAGGTGGACGGTAAGCAGGACGTAAGGTCAGGGGGATGACGCCAATGGTCAAACGTGTCGAATTTTTCGTTTCCACCGTTTTAGACGTATTTTTGGATGGGGATTTCAGAAATCGCCATCATTTCGACGTGCCATGACCGTGTGACCGTGTAGATGACACCAAAGTCGAAAATTGTCGAATTTTTTGTTGCCACCGTCTTAGACGTATTTTTTGGCGGGGATTTCAGAAATCGTCATCATTTCGACGTGCGACGACTCCATGACCGTGTGGGAGGTGTCGAATGTCGAAAAAATGACTTTTGTCATGTGGGATGTCTATTGAAAGGTATGGTCGTGTACGTTCGTACATAATTGAGATGATGAATTTATGAAATGAGATTATAAAAAATGAAAAATGATATAGATGTAGATGCAAAATGAGATTCATTGAATGAAATTGACTAAATATGTCGATGAATTATGACAAAATTAATTTTCCCGCGTCTGCGGATGTGCGTCTGGGGAAAATTGAGACATGAATAAAATCCAGCCTAGTCATGAAATATGGTACAATTTAATGTGTATACGCAGTATGATTTTTTTCTGCAACTACTTCATTTCCTTGCGTTTTATTTATTTACGTATAAATTTTTACTGGGGAACATTCATAGATTTTATATTTTGATAATATTTATTACACTTAAGGAAATTCACAAAGTGTCATAACAAAATATTCGTTGCAACCGATATCCACCCATGTCCAATTTGCTCCCGGATCGAGACCCATGCAATTCCAGTTTCTCCCATCTGGGTCCGGGTAAGGCGAACCGGGATACCAATTCGAATAAGTTATCGGATTTCCGGATCTTATCCATCTCCAGGTTTCTTCCGAAAAGAGATCGGTACCTCCAATGTTCAGGTATTTTGTCCAGTCTAAAAATTATATATATGGTGTGTTACTAAATATTCCCACGGTAATGACCGTCATTACCATGCAGGTAGAGTCTATCTCCGGCTGGTAATAATTTATGTAATACCAGCTTTCTAACTGCATTTAAAAACTTACTACGCGATACTCCAACCGTTTGCAGAAGCAATTGCTCCACTTCTGTCTCTATGGTTGCAATATACAACCCTTCCTTATGACATTTGCTCACACTATCGATCCAGGTAGACTATTTAGAAGAAAATTATTGTATAATTTTTGCAATGGGACGATTTACAGGAAAAATATAAATGCATACATTAAAATCCTCATTGTCCCAAAAGTAAGTTTTATTGCTTGTTGACCCAACAGGAACAATTGCCCCTTGAACGTGATTCTCATTCCGTGATGAAATTAATACCGTCACGATGGAAAGCAATGAAAATATTAGAAAAGGTTGGGCTTGAAACAGCATGTTACAAAAAAATTTATATATGTATTTCCTGTCCTCCGTGGTTTTGTAATCACTTTGATTGATTTATTTAACTGATTGATACAAATGAGTTAGATTCGGTCTTATATTTAATTTGGGCACGTAGGCGGATGAACAGGCGTGGCCAAAATATGTTGATGTTTAGTATCATCGTTGTATCCAAAGATATCCTACAGATAAATTTGTCACTACCATAATATTACTAAACCTTAATGCATATTATTACTTGTCCCGGTAGAGTCAAATATGGGCTCCGGTCACAAGTGAGTTACATACATTATGTATGTAACTTACATATGTATGTATGTAACTTACATATGTATGTATGTATGTAGTACCAGTTTTCCAAGTTGGAATTGTTTCTGTATCTATCTTATCTACATGTTAACTGATCGGAAGTAATTTAATAGATACAATATAATTTTCCCCAAATTTTGTACATAAAATTCACATCTTACATAATGCATACATATTTATGTATGTATGTACGACTGGTAGAAAATGTAACTAGCATCTTGTTTCAGTACTCATGGTCAGTTTCATAAGTATCTTGCCCACCCCTGCTGCGTCATTGTGTACTTTCCAGTAATTTATGTGATTTATCTTATCTTTCAATCACTTACATAATTTTGCAATGTAACCAGCTTGACGTACTTAGGATAAAACTGGTTTCATTACGACATTAAATGCTTGTGCTTTATAATCAAGTTGATTATATTTAAATCTTCACATCATCAAAACTTCATCATCAGGCTGTTCATATGACAATACATAAGAACTAATTACTTAAAAATATCTCCGTGTGTACCTATACATACATACATACATACACGCACTCTCAGCAAAATTGTTACTAAAAATCTCAATCCTTCTAACAAGGGAACCTTAAGTACTGTCACCTCTCGATTTCCTTCGGAATGGCCTTAATCGACAGATAATTTAGTGAAACTAAATCTTTGTCATAGAACATGCGGTGCAAAATCGCGTTTTCGCGAAATATTTGGCGAGAGCTGAACCAAAACCTGCCATTTGCCCAATGGTTTTAACATAGCCACCAGCCTTTCGAATGATGAAATGAACTTCATATAATCTTATTAAATTATATTTGTACCTGTCCGCGTAATTTCAGCCCGATCACAAATATGCATAAAACAATGCAAAGATTGGCAAATTTTTTGCAAATTGCGAAAATCTGAAAACTTTCGCAAATTTAAATTTCTTTCTTTCTTTAAATTCAACAAACTTATCAGTTTAACTGTTATAAAATATATTTTTCTTATTGCAAAAAATTTGCAAAAATTTGTAACAATTAAAGTTTACATTTTTTAAATTTCGCATTTTAGAGAAACTTAAAAATTGTCATATATGCAGATATGAGCGAATAAAGGGAAAGATAATTTGTTAAACAATTTGTTAAACATGCAAACATTGCAAACAAATTCTACATAATAATATTGAATTAAAAAATTGCACACATTGTAAGTTTTTGCAACTTACCAAAAGAAATACCGCAAATAATTTCGAAAAATACGTAAAAATAGACTAGCCTAGGTTATTTAAGTTATTTTCATGAAAAATTGCGAAGTTCAGTTTTTGCAAATTTTTGCAAATTTTTTGCAAGAAGAAAAATATATTTTCTAACAGTTAAACTGTTAAACTTTGTTGAATTTAAAGAAACGAAGAAATTCAAATTTGCAAGTTTTCAGATTTTCGCAATTTGCAAAAAATTTGCGAATCTTTGCATTGTTTTATGCATATTGGTGATCGGGCTGAAATTACGCGGACAGGTACAAATATAATTTAATAAGATTATATGAAGTTCATTTCATCATTCGAAAGGCTGGTGGCTATGTTAAAAGCATTGGGCAAATGGCAGGTTTTGGTGCAGTTCTCGCGAAATATTTCGCGAAAACGCGATTTTGCACCGCATGTTCTATGACAAAGTTTAAGTTTCACTAAATTATCTGTCGATTAAGGCTATTTGGAAGGAAATCGAGAGGTGACAGTACTTAAGGTTCCCTTGTAAGTGTCTTAAATATTTATTGCGGAAAAATATGCTCGGGTTTAGTTAAAACCTGAATATCTCAAACTTACAATTAGCCAAAAATTGGCCCATTTTAACTTTACCTCAAGCACTGGCTAAGCGTTCCCCCAATATTATTACGGATAACTGATCTACTCAATACTACGCAAATTTTAAGCCATCTAACCCAAAAAAACACTGTTTAATTGTATATACATATCTATCTTATGTAATTACTAGAATATAAGCCTGTCTTGAAGACAGGCCTTATTTGAATTTCTTTAACGTTGCTAAGAATTTTTTTAACGTTGCTAAGGAATTTTTTTAACGTTGCTAAAGAATTTTTTTAACGATGCTAAGCAATTTTTTTAAAGTTGCTAAGGAATTTTTATAACGTTGCTAAGGAATTGTGTTTAACATTGCTAAGGAATTTTTTTAACGTTGTTAAAGAATTTTTTTACGTTGCTAAGGAATTTTTTTAACGTTGCTAAGGAATTTTTTTAACATTGCTAGGAAATTTTTTTAACGTTGGCAGGGAATTTTTTTTATTGTTGCTAGGGAAATTGTATAACGTTGCTAAGGAAATTTGTTAATGTTGCTGAAGATATTTTTCCCCGAAATCATGACCGAAATCATAACCATAATCATAACCGTAATCTTAATCGAAATCATAACCGTAATCATAACCGTAATCATAACCATAATCATAACCGTAATCTTAATCGAAATCATAACCGTAATCATAACCGTAATCATAACCGAAATCATAACCAAAATCATAACCGTAATCATAACCGTAATCATAACCCAAGTGATAACCGAAATCATAATCGAAATCATAACCGTAATCATAACCGAAATCATAACCGAAATCATAGCCGTAATAATGACGGGGTCTCATTTAATGGGCCAGACTTTTAATTGAAATCACATAACTAAATATATTGAAATTCCATAACTTGAATTTCCAGTACTTTATATGCCTTAAAACAACCTTTATAACTGAATCCATCAGACACGGAATTTCATAACTTATGCGTTTATTTATATGCAAAACCCCATTAATATGGTGCCTTTTCAGGTAAATAGAGGGTGTTCCGGAAGTAATGCAACTTTGGTCAAATGCACATATAAACTCAACGAATGAATTTTTTAAAGCGAAATTTTGGTCAGAAAGGGACAAAGGTTAAAGCTAATTAAGTTTTGCTTCCAATGGTCCGTACACCCCTTCCGCCAAATTTGGAGACGTTTTTGTTGGGCGCTCACAATTAGTGCTTCGCCACTGTTTTTGGTCACCTTTATTGAGATTTTTTACCACATGTGTTGAAATAAGTTCAAATTTTTGACTGAAGTTTTTCGATTACAATATTTTTTCTAGGATAGGAACTAAAATTGTTCAATAGGTCTTGTAGTTGGCAAATTTCGGAACGTTCACCTCTCCCATGTTAATTGCATTTGATCCGTTTTAAGGCGGAGCGTGATACTTTGGCTTATATTTAATTTCCAGTTTTGCATAAATGGTTTTCTTGAAGGTGGGAGAGTTGTACTATGTGCAAAAGAAAGCATTTTGATAATCTGAGCAGTAAATCGTCTTGTACAGGACGATCAATTTTGGTTAATTTTAATTACTTCAGGTCAAGGATTTTTTCTGCCCTCCTGCTTGCTACTTTTATTTTACTCTTGACTATATTTATAAGCTTCTAGAACCTTCTAGGATTTGATGTCCAACTTCTAAGCTTTCAAATAATGTATGGTGTTCGGTGAGAACTTCAAGTACTTCAGCGAATTTCGCTCCGACATAACAAATTTCTATCTACACGAAGTTTATTACTTTCGGGGCTGCCACACGAATGTACCGACCAGATATTTTTTGCGATTAGTCGTTTTTTGCAGCTCATACCTTAGTATAATACAACAAATCGTCACTTTTGGAATTTCTTATTTTTTAAAGTGAACACAGCTCAATTTCTTGGAGCGCGTACCCACTTTTTGGAGGTAGTGGCAGACGATGGTTGCGAGTTGCTTGGTGGTATTTGACCTCATTTTGGAACGGATAGAGATATCGACTTCTGGTTTTCGGATTCTACTAGATAAATGTGTGGACTACAATATTCACCCAATTTCGAATTTGGGGCAAATTGATACCCTTGCATATATGCATTTTACCAAAGTTGCATTACTTCCGGAACACCCTCTAACACCATCTCTTGCTTTTGTAACCAATAGTAAACGATACTACCATAACCTAAGAGTGCAAACTAGTAGAAAACCGGACACAATAAGGAATTTTGCAACTATTTTACTGTAATAAATCTGGTATAATCAGGTATTGATTTTGATTTCTCGGTATTTAAGCTGCTGCAGCTTGGTATTAGAATTATATCTTTCCGTAAAACCTTCCTACTGATAGGGTAAACTTTAATACCGAGCTATTACTACATACACCATATCAATCAGTACCACTTTCATAGTGTCATATCTGAATACCGCTTGGTACTGGATTTCTAAGAGTGTTTGACACCGAATGTCTTATGACACGACTTATGTCTTATGTCAGGTGGAGCCTGAATTCTGATAGCCAATCAGAATGCTGGAATGTCACGGAAATTTCACGGGACGGACTTTTCGAAATTATAATATAGATAGATTTTTAGTTGCAATAAAATCATAATTTTCTAAAAAACACACCGCGACTAACAGGTTTTAAACTCGCCATTTGAATACATGGAAGAAAGTGAAGTTGAGACACAAAAATTAAATTTCTAAAACCCGAATACAAGGGAACGTTAACGAAGCACAGGCATTTGTTGAATTGATGGTAGCTAGTGTTCATCATTACTTCTGGTCATATAACGCCGAGCAATTAAAAATTGTACATTTAAAATCCTAATTACGCCATATGCTTATAAATATGCTACCTCAACTTAAATTTGCGGTAACGTGAAGCAGATCCCATCCAATAAATAATCCTTAATTGCAAATTTTATAATTTTATAGAGATTTTTATACTCCCGGATTTCAAGGAATTATTTATGAGAAAATTTGCACGCAATAATTCTCAATAACCTCATGTATGTATGTACCATACCAGGCACCAGCTTTACATTAATATTTAGCTGACATGTTCGACGTAATTTCTACGACGTAATTTCTATGTTACATAAGCCTGACATGACTAAGGGATCGTGCATAAAGATAGTGATGAACCTCCAGGGTATATTTTTTTACGCTTAATAACCCTCCACCAGTTACATAAATACATTTTTATGTCTCATGCATTAAGTATTACATTAACATGAAAAAATGACAGGATTTATGGACATCCAGCTAAAAATGTATGTATTCAAAAATGTGTGTCTACTGCCAATTTCTTGTTGAAGTATACTTAAGGTTTTCTCTCAATTTTTAATTAAATTAATAAATTATATTTACATATGTAATTACCTGACAACCAGATGGTAATTAACCTTGATATTGGGCTGTATAAAAATGCACCAAATTGAACTGTGAGAAGTTCGTACATAAGGCACCTACATACAAAAATTGATTTGCAAAAGTATCCTTACCTCAAAAATTATATACCTAGTCGCACATTTGAATACACACAGCCAGAAAAATGCTTTTCTTCTGGATATATAGTCTGCTTGTAATCTCCACCCTTAGCACGGTGCACAGTCAAGGGAACACAATTCCAGGTAAATCACGATAATAAAACGACAACCACACTCTTGAAAATTCCGAATCAAGTCAAATAACCTGAAAAGTTATTTTATGAAAACGTGCATAAACACAAAAATATACATAATTTATCCCGATTGCTTTCTACTTAGGTATAGTTTGCGTCGGCCCTAAACAAGGCGACCGTTGTCGAGAAGAATGCACCAAAGCGCACCCAGGAACGATGGGCGTTTGTCAAAACGGGGTCTGCATCTGCTCCAGTGATCCACTCGATATCAAATGCGGCGGAGATGGCAGCCTGATAGGGATCCGATGCCCGGACGTGTCTGCATGTCGACGACGCTGTTGTCGAGAAGGAAAGACGGGAGGACGATGCAAGTGGTGGGTTAAATGTGTGTGCAATTAAAAAACACAAAATTACAAATGCATTAAAGAACATTACAATGAAAATTAATTTAAAATTAAAGAAGATTGAACAAGACTAATCTAAAATCTTGAATAAGAATTATGTAGGCATTTAATTAAATAAATTATTATTCGCATTTATTTAAAATGCGGGAGTTTTTCTTTATCGGTAATTTAATTTGCTATAAAGCCTCTTTTGGTGTTGATAAGTATGTCACTTTGAATCCGATAATTTTTGTCCGACTTACTAAAATATGATGATTAATCTCATGCACAGGGTTCGGAGAACCCCGGGGTTTTTGTAGAAAAACCCAACCCCGGAGGTTTTTCCGGGGTTTTTGGGGTTTTTATGGGTTTTTGGGTTTTTGTGGGTTTTTGTGGGTTTTTGTAGATTTTGGGGGAGGTTGAGCCAGAATTCCTAAAATTATATATAGGAGAAAATCTAATTTAATATACGAATTCAGCTTGCAATTTTAACCGTTATCATTGACTTGGACTGTTACATCGAAAATTCATGTTTAACATGAAAACCTGAAAATATGCAATGATATTTGGAAATTCAAGTCGCACATGAAATTACTCAAAATTTCATGATGAATCAGAAAATTTAAGTAGCATTGACCTAAGTTGTAGTTTAAGGGATTTTGTTTCAATCTGCCAATTCAGGACAAATTTGTATTAATGAATGTACCTAGTCTAATCTTAAAAAGTGATAGTAGAGTAGACGACCATATCTACTTGGTTTTAAGGAATTCCAAATTTCTTTATATTCCAGTGAAAAGCCAGTTAAATTTCACGTAGAAAACATGTATTAGACTTGAAAATATATTTCTCTTGTGACAATGAAAAATTGGTCACGAAAAAGAAATCTGCATCAAAAATACTCACGGAACTAATTGACAAAGTGTATCATTCCCGGGTCAGAAATTTTTTTGTGATCCTGCCGCATATATGGGGCTAAGAACAAAGCTTTTCCTCGACTTTAATCAATATTTGGTGGTGTTATCGATTTGGGTTCGAAAATGCGAGGTCAAATCTAAAATGGAAATGAAGTCAGAAATAGATTTCTTCGGCCAGTTTTGCACGAATTTCGCTGTATTTATTTATGTAGAGCCTTGCACAAAGGTCGGCGGGTTTCCACCCAATATGGACTGACTGAGGGTGTGTTCCATCTTCACTATGACGTTAATCAAATATTTTTTAAAACTATCTCCTCTCCATAATCGAGGAAATTGGGCGGTTTTTGACCAATTCCGCCGATTCCCGCCAAAACCATGAGTGCAACCCGATAAGGTAACATTCGACCCCCATTTCGTAATCAATCCTAAGAATATTTAACATAGATTCTACTTTCTTTTTTGTGGAAATATGGTTCCATCTTAAAGAAATTCCCATCGGTAAACGGGTTGTTGTGTTTTTATTTTTTACCGTACCGCTAGGAGAGGAAGATCGACTTAATGACCTTAGCTTGGGTCTGGGAAATCTGTAGCGCGTGACGCTTTCTACTCTAAAAGGCCTCCATTTTAAGGTTATTTTTCAGTGCTCATTTGATTCCTAAAGTTGAAAGGTCATTTATATGGACAAAGTCTTCAGCGTGAAAGGTAGATTTTGTGCTATTCTGGCGTTCAAAGCTTCGGACATCACTGTAGTCCTCCTTGACCTTGGACCACCGGAACCTTTATATCATAGTTAGACCCTGTCTCTAGGGTTACTTTAATAGTTTGGGCAACCAGATCGTAGTTGTCCTTGAGTTGCTACACTACATCTAACATTGTGAATTTTTCGTCTCTGAAAAACCTGGAAAAACATTGCCGCGCGCGTGTGGTAAAGCTCCTCCATCTTTTGACCTATGGAGGCCAGGTAAAAGAGGTTCATAACAGTGATAGCAACTGAATGTATGTACAAACTGCAACTTACATCTTAATTTTATGCTGACCGGTTCAAAAACTACGCTCTACTATCACTTCTTATGGGAAGACTAGGTATATAAATTAGCGTGCATTTAAGCAATTGCTAACTTATGCACATTCATTAATACAAATTTGTCCTGAATTATGAATATACACGTCTTGCATACTCGCGTTTTGTTAACTCTGCTACACATATAATTTGCCTTCATATGCAATTAATGTTGTTTGTCATATATGTGCAGACCAGGCATGTCAGATAAAATAACTGGGGGGTAAAAAATATGTTTGTGACTCAACGCCGCAAAACGGATATGTACAATCTCCATCCTCTTGCAGGACAGGGTTTATATCGTGTTTGTATGTATGTATCTATTCAAGAAGGTGCCCATCTCAACACATAATAACGTTTTATTATAGGAATGTATGTATCCTTAGCTGGGAAATATTACGTCTGACTCAAGTATTTTTGTCAAATTTCTCAAAAAATAAACCACAAGTCTTGTTACAAGATTTTTAGATTTATCTATGTGCATACGTATGTAATACATACTATGTATAATCCCATATTATCCTCATACATTTGTAAAAAAATATATGGATATATATATGTACGTGTTAAATTTGTAGGCATCAAGCAGATAAGTACTTATCAGGCCTGCACGTGGAGGTATGTATGTATGTGTTGTGGTTCTTTTCGGCATATGCGGATTACTTATGATCATTCACATTATTTGTAAACTGGTGTATGTAAATACGTAGATACGTGAACATGACGCATATTCCAGTCTGCTGTTGAAACGAGGTATATAATTTTACTATTAATTTCATATCTTGTATATATTTAAATTAACAATTCCATATTATACATACTTGTAGATACATAAAACGGGATTACAAAAATGGAACCAGGTGCAAGCATGGGCTTAATGGAATCAATTTTTTGGAATGATTTGGTAAAAAACATTTCGTTTTGGTCGTTGTTAATTATATAAGTAATTAAGTTTTAAATAATTTGTAACTCCTTTGGTAAATTGACAGTTGCTGGAAAAAATATTCTCTTCAATGGATCTGGAAACGATTAAAATAGTTCGTCTCGTTAACACACAATGGGAAAGAGAAGCGAGGCCAAGATTCGCCGAGATTAGTGTGGTACGAAAATGTTTCGGTTTTGTGCAACGGATTCGTATTTTTTTAGTCATGTTATAAGAAAAACACGGAAATTAGTGCAGTATCGATTAAATTATGTTCTTACAGGTGTTAGTCCACCTTAAACACCACGCTGATCGTGACGCTGTTCAAGTACAGTTGGACCTTAACAAGCAGCCTTTTCATACTCTTGCATTAAATGAAGATATCAAACTAGCACTGAATGATCAACTAGCATCTTTTCGAAATTTCAAGTTGCAGTTTTCACTTTCTAGGGACACCATAAGGAATACTGAGATGCTGCAAGAAGCGTATTTTTGTAAGGAAGAGTCAAACTAACATAGTTTCTTGTTTAAAAATTCCCGACGCTCAAAAACGTCTCTTTCTGCGTGTTTGCAAAAATCGTGTCGCAGAGGTTTTGTTTTAAATGTAAATTCATTTCATTTACAAAAATAGTTTTATATACACAAGATGCCCTTTTGCTTTGCAAACATTTTTTTTACTAAAAACCAATTGTTTTTTTCGTACCCATGGCAACGACAGTAACTATATTGAGATGCGACGTGTAGGAAGTTGACGTGAATATCCACATTGTCACGTTGTGTACAACCAGCTCATTTTAGTTTTCTAATTTAAGATCTGAACCAACTTATTCAACACCTATGGCGTCCGAATGCATCACTAATTCATTCCTTGTCGATTCTATTGACGATTAAGTTTACAAAGAAATTAAGCGATCTGTTAACCTCAATTATTTCGGGGTGTAATGCATTTTCGCATGTGGAAATTGATCCAAAAGGATACGTGTGCACTGGTAAGAAATAACTAAACTTCATAAAAGCGTTTTTAGGGTGAATGTTACCACTTGCAAGCACTCACTGCAAGAAAGTTGTTGTATTTTGCAACTATGTATATATTTTGATCGGCACGAAATGCATGGCCCAAGAAACTACTTTCCGCCGGTAGATGGTGTAAATTTCGTGCACTTTCTTGCAGTTTCTTGCACCATGTACATAGTGCATGCATTTTTTTTCATTGCACTTTAAAAAATGTAGCAAACCAGCAAGAAACTAAACAGTGATAAAATCTCACAAAAAGATTGTTCTTTTTTGTAGTCGACACCTCGCACCTGCCAAAGATGTCGTGTCACACGTTGCGAATTAGCCATACTAAATCCAGCTTCGAGGATTTGACCCGCTTTTTTTCCAATTTGGTCAACACGAAAAAAATTGTTTTTGATGACCCTTGGCTAGGCAATTTGGACACTGTTGTTCGAGCCATTGTTGAAAATGGGGAACAATTTGAAAACCTGGAGGAAATTGACATAAAAATTATGACGGAGCTTAAGGTATGATGCGAACCAATTCTTCACCGTTAAACAAATGTTGTCGATAGGTCAAAATTTTGAGTTTTATTCTCGATAGAGTGCAGTATAAAGTCGCAATCTGCCTCTGTGCTAAATTCTGGAGAATCCTAACTTTAAAAATGTTCAGTATCTCGTATAATACCGTGTAGTAATAGCTCGGTAATAAAATTCAACCATATCGGTAGCAATTTAGAAACCAGGCAGTAACAACGTTAACTTCGAGAAATCAATTACTGTGTTACCGCATGCATGTCATATTTCCAAGAGTGTACACTTTTAGAAATCCGGTATAGTAACGCAGGTATTCATTTCTCGATATTAAAGTTGCTAGCTCTTAGTTTTAAAAGTTTACCTGTCCGTAAAAATTTGATACCAATATTGTAAAGCTTTAATACCTGGTTACATATTACTACACAGTATTATTTATCAATGCCACGTTGGTAGAGTCATATTTATCTATTTGAATACCGGCTGGTATTATTTTAATACTGGATTTCTAAGAATGTATTTTTAATCGCTACATTTGGCCGATCGTCTACATTTCTAGAACGTATCCACTATAAAGTAAACTGGTTAATTATATTTTGATGCACTGTATAATTTGAATTTTAGCAAATCCGAGCCCTCACAGAAATGTGGGGGTTAAGAAGATTGCGAGTACGAAGTGAGGATGAGAAAGCATCAGGAAATGCGATGACAGCTTTGGAAGAATGCGTTACCATACATGCCACAACTTTAGAATTTTTGCATTTGGATTTTGGTAAAACAGACGGCATAACAGATTTATGTAGATTTCAGACTTTAGAGTTCCCTAAATTACAACGATTTTACTTGAAAACAAATATCACTTTTGGAATTGCGCTAGCATGTAGCGTTGACATTTTGGGCCTCAAGGAATCGATAAAGGTATGTATGTTATTCACCTGCTAGAAACCTGGTATTGATTTCTCGGTACCGTTTAGTATTAAAATTCTACTAAATATGTTAATATTCGATTTCTAAGAGTTTAGCCAATTGCCAATTATTATCTGAGAAATAATTACAAGTGAATCATTTTTGGTACAGAATGGAACCTTACGCAAGAGATTTCCTTCCCTGAAAAGAGTTGAAGTTGTGGGACCATACGAAACGGATTTTCCTTGCTTGATTCCCGTGAACATTTCAGACTTATTACCTAAATATGGCATTCACGTTAGCGGAAAATTACTGTCATTCGGTGGAGTAACAGATTTATGAAGCCAAATCGTAATGAAGTAAAGTTGTAACTATGTATGTAGGTAAGCAAATAGAAAGCATCGTGTTAGTATATTTCTGGCCACCAACAACGTAACGTAACCTAATATTTAACAATAATTGTACACAAGCTAATCTATCGTCAATTTCATTATCATATAATTTATTTGATTATACTGACATTTGCTTCCATACCTACAAGAAATTACTTCAAATTACATGCGTTCGAAAGTACATATTTACGACAGTTAAACGTATTAATATTTATTTACTATTGGCAAGTATCTATATATGCGTCCATGTACAATTTATCCATGAACGTGTTTTGCGAAATAGTTAACTAACAATGGAACCTTTTTTCAAGCTACACGAGATAAGCTTAGTGACCTATGCTAAAAAATCAAGCTAAAAATTAGAAATGACGTGGTACTTATCTTTCCGTTGAATGGGCACTTGGAGGTCAAATATTTGAAGGCAAAGTTCACAGTAGCGGCCTGATTTTTTCTCAAGCGGGCGAGCGGAGGAGGAGTGAAAATTTTCTCCTCGAGGTCACTCCGCTGCCTTCACTCTCGCGCTAGTTTCGTTCATCAATAGTATGCAATCAATATGCAATTCCAAAAATATACAACGAAATGTGGCAATAAAAATAAGTCAACTTTACGGATTATGATTTCTAATTAATTAATACACTAATTAATTAGACGCACTTATGTATAACTTATAGAACCCATCGTCACTTTTTCATTACGGATCGGTGGATAGTTGATAGTAGGACTTTAAAAAGCAATTATAAAATTATATGAATTTATGCACCAATTCACGAGATTGTGAAATTTTGTCAAAAATAATATGCATTGAATGAAGTGCGAGCGTGCGAGAGTGAAGGCAGCGGAGTGACCTCGAAGGAGAAAATTTTCACTCCTCCGCTCGCACGCTTGAGAAAAAAACAGGCCGCTACCTTGAACTTTGCCCTCAAATATTTGACCTCCAAGTGCCCATTCAACGGAAAGATAAGTACCACGTCATTTCTAATTTTTAGCTTGATTTTTTAGCACAGGTCACTAAGCTTATCTCGTGTAGCTTGAAAAAAGGTTCCATTGTAAGATGCACAGCTATGTATCTGTGTTTACATAAATTCATAAATGATGAGCCTAACAGCCTAACTACTATTTACTATTTAGTTAAATTGAATTATGTGAGTTTGCAATAAAATATGTACATACATAAATACATATAGCAATTAAGTAAGTATATTTTGTACGAAATACTATGTATGTGCACAACATTATAGACTCAAAAATTTATCGTCAAGACGGAAAAATGCATATAAAAATCTGTTCACCGTCCATGAAATTGAATGAAACACTACTTTTTAACAAAAATTACTTCCCGCCAACTTTACCCTGAATGTTTACACATGGTCGAAATCCTACCTGAACGATCGAATCATAATAAGCGACATGGTTTGAGCCAAACAAAAATTTTGAATCGCCAGCGGCGTCCCTCGATCGATATAGTTCGACCCGAATTTTACCTTCAGACAATTCAACGCCTTCATCTCCCTCCTTAAGTAGGAACTTCCCATCCCACCGAAATTTCCCACACTCTGTCCGCACTTTTCCAGCATTCCCTTCGACGTAGAGTTGACCCATGACGCCAGCGTGAAGGTGACGACATTATTGATCAAAGCGTTCACTAAGAAAAGGGGAAAAATGAGAAATCCCGGCATCGCGATTTGATCAAGCATCGTTACAGACACGAATTGCGATACGATTTGAATCGCTGGAATGGCGATAATGATGGCTGGGGTGATTCTCGTCATGAGGTAATCGTTGAACATTTTTTCCAAAATGTGTACCTCCCGATACGTTCGGATGCAGAGTTTGTGATCGACTAGGTTATTGGCACGATCCATTTTGCTAGAAATTAAAATATTGTTATTTATAAATATCTTCAATTACGGGCTTCGGGTCACTTTGCATAATTTCTCACGCAGGTCGGTTTACATAATAATCAATTATGTAAAACCCAACTATGCATAAGTATGTTTAGATCGCTTATTATGCATAATTTTCCAATCCGGGATTGGCAATCCCATCCCCAAATTGATGTGAAATGATATTTATGCAACATGAAAAAATTTGGCAATTTAGACGTTATGCAAGATGTGCACATTATGCAAAGTCACCTGGAACAATTTTATGTCACTATTACGACATACCTTCCAACGATTTGGAGATAATTCAACGTACAAGTAATCCCCACAAATAGGACGTAGAATGAACAGACGCTACCGCAGTAGATGCCTTGTGTCGCCATCCATGTTTCGAACACGAGAATTATATTTTCCGGGCCCATGTTTGTCCATTTTATGGTCGAACATTGAGTCGACGTCGAGAGGAGGAAGGGCGGGAAGCATGGATCAAAGAGGAGGAGGCAAAAAATGCCGACAGGGAAGCCGATCACGGAATAGTTTAATGTCATCATGAAGAAGAGCATGACTTTGGCTTGGGTCGATGCTTCCATAGGTTTCTCATCTGGAGTTAAATTCATAGTTTATATGTTAATAAAAAATAGTAACTAAAATGCTTTATATATTTAACTATTAGAAATCCAAGATTAAAATATTACCAAGGGATACTCACGTATGACTCTACCGAAACGCTATTGATAAGTACTACCACGGAGTAATAAATAGCTAGGTATGCATCTCAGGGCTATGCTGATGATGTGGCCCTGCTTTGTACTGTTAGTAATTTGGACAGTACGCTTTGTCTCTTGCAGTTCGCTAGTCTCAGGGCTTTCGGTGGTTCTTTTCGCAAATAAGGGCAAGATCAGACTCAAACCACTCGACTTGAAGGGAAAGAGTCTAGATTACAGTGGCTTCACCGATGGCTTTATCAGATTTCTAACAGAATAGTACTGACTTTATAAACTATTTAACGGGAAATCTATAAATCTCGCTTGGACCGGTTTAAATTTGTTCAGTTACGAAAATATTCGAATCAATTTTTCATAATACCTCAATTTGACTAGTTTCTATGTAATTAAAATTTCGTCGTGCCAAACCGTTACCTTTAACCAGCTCTCCTTCAAATTTCACGCATGAATTGAGCACTTGAACAGGTGCGATATCCAGTCGAAAATTCCATTTGTTATTCAACAACATGACATACACTCCAAAGAAGCTGAAGCCCTGGAACTTTCTCTGTACAGTGAGTGGTCCAAAGCAAAGGTGGGCAAACATTGCGGCCACATACAATAGCGTAAGTATGCATTGAATTCGGTAGATTTTTATGTCTCCCGAACTCTCGATGAGCACAAGTTTCCCCGAATTTTTATCAAACCTGAACGGAACGGATTTTAGAACGCGGCAGCGATTAAGATGACGGACTAACAGTGGCAAAAATTGGGTCGTATACATTTTAGGAAGAAATATGTGAATAATGTAAATTATGTATTAGTAAAAATATTAACTTGATTATGTAAAGTTGTGCTGGAAAAGGATTGTTTGAAGGTTCAAATGGCAACAAGCCAACTGTTTATGACGAGCAGTGGATAACGTAATATTTAAGGTCATTAAAGGTTGATCAGGAACCGACCTGCTTAATAATTAAGTACGACTTACACATCTATGTACATATTTCTGCCAAAATAAAGGTGTATATTCGCCGACTTAAATTAAAATTAGTGTTGATGACACTATCTCCAAATTATAGCTACACACGTTACTATGCGACAAATCGAATTTTCAAATTAAGCACAATTCTAGTAATGCATGGTAATAACTTCTAAATACTTATACCCATATAAGTAAATACATAGTATCATGTCGTGCAATTGCTCTATAGGCTGCCTTAATTTTCTGCCATTTAAATTTACCCCTTAATTTCAAATTAATTGTGACATTGCGCAATCGAATCTAATTATGGTAATGTTCTACATATAGCTAGGGTTCTAAAATAAAAGGCTACACATAATCTTTAATAATTTCGTCTTACCCTGTATAAATATTATGTTTTAAACGTAGGAAATATACGAACGTGCAGTCGAGAAATTAAGAATGTATCTTGATTATAAGGAAAACCTTGTAAAATAGGAGGAACACATAACACAAAAAGGGTATTGAGAACTCTGCCAATTAACTTTAGCATTATGACGCTCCAGCTTTTACGTCAAGTTAATGATAGATATATCTATCATTAATGCTGAAATGGAGGTACATAAATATCCCTTATGATGAGATAATTGCTGGAAAGGTTACGATGTTTTCAAACCACGTTGTGTATGTACGAAATTCTGCTTCAGTTGTCCTGCATTCAAATTTGCTCCTTAATTTAAAATTAAGTGTGACATGATGGCATCTAATTAAGTGTAATTTTCAGGGTTCTTACATAAGTAATGTACATATATACACAGATTATTTTTAATTCCAGGCCTACGGTACTTAAATGTTTTGTTTGAAACGAAGGAAATATAATAACAGTGCGTATGTATAGTACCATAATTAAGATAATATGTACATAGTGTGTTATCTTAATTATAAATAAAACCTTGTTCATAAAACTGAAGTAACGCATTACATAAAAAGGGTGTTGAGAAGTCTGCAAATCGGCATTAACTTTACGCATAGACAGAAGTTTGTTTTCAAAAACAATTATTAAAATCCAGCTACATAATTATATCCCTGTCCTACTTTCGCATGTAGCATTATCTCAAAGCACCTATCAAAACAAAAGAGCTAATACTTATTAGCTCGCCCTGCGTAGCACGAGAGCTATTGAATTCCTCTTGTCCGTCCGTCCGTCTGTCTGTGTGTTCACGAGTTTTTTGCATCAATTGATGCTAATTAATAATCCCCTTGACCATTATAGAATGAATTAGGCGCACCATTGGTATCGAACAATCCGTGGCGCAAATGGTCCGTCCATATGTCCAACCTTTAAACCTTTTTTTGTCATAAAGATTTTTTATATATCGGCTTGTGCGCACCCTTAAACATAGTTTGATTGTTTTGAAAAGTATATAAATGCAGTCTCAATTTTTTATTAAGTAAACTTTACTAAACTACATACGGGCAAAAAATGCATAGTTTTATAAAGTTTAATTTACTCCGGATTTAGTATAGCTTACACAATGAAAACAGAATTGAATGCATTTTCATTAAGAGTGCCTACGAAATTTTAATATAACAATGAGTTTACTATGTATGCATCCGTCACTGTAAGTCATATTATGATAATGTCATTTCAAAACGCATACATGAGAGAGGCACTTCACAACCGCTATATTATTATATTCGTTCCTGAAATTCATTTCCATCGAAATGCGGTGAATTTAGTAAATTGTTTCATGAATTAATCGTTATCAGTCAGAAATAGGTAGCATTTTGTAAACCTGCTCCTGTGAAATTTTGTCTTTTTGACT